TATTTAATGATGATGGTGTTGTCATGGTTGGACACACCATCGTGGGTGTACAGGGTGAAGAGTTTGGGGCTGAGACAGCAGCCCTGCAGTGAGTCTGTGCTGATTGTGAGCTCAGCAGACACCCGCCCTCCCATTCTAACTACCTGTGGTCTTTCTGTCAGGAAGTCCAGAATCCAGTTACAGGTGGGAGTTGGGACACCGAGGTCTGTCAGCTTCCCAATCAGCCTGCCCGGGTGAATAGTGCTGAATGCAGAACCGTAATCCAGGAAGAGCATCCTAGCATACGTACTGCTGTTGTCCAGGTGTTTCAGAGTGTGGAATAAAGTCAGAGCCATCGCATTGTCCACTCATCTGTTGGGGCGGTAGGCAAACTGGAGAGGGTCTACAGTGTCCAGGACCATGTGGTTAACGTGTGAGGACCAGTTTCTCTAAGCACTTCATGGCAACTGATGTGAGCGCCACTGGCCTGAAGTCATTCAGAGTGGATGTGTCTGATGTCCTAGGGACCGGTATGATAATGGATTTTTTGAAAATGAGAGGGACTACTGCTTGGGTTAAAGATGGGTTGAAGATGTCTGTATACACACTAGGTAGTTGATCCCCCACAGGCTCTCCGGGGACACCATCTGGTCCCGCTGCCTTATGGGGGTTTAGTGTCTCAGGGCCTTCAGAACCTGTGTGCGCATCACCTGAAAAGCAGTGTCCCCCAGGTCGCTGGGGGATATTGTGGGAGTATTCGTGTTCAGCCTGTCAAACCTAGCATAGAAGTTATTAATGCTGTCTGGGAGGGTGGCATCCTGGGGGGCTGTGTTTGTTGATTTGCTCCTGTAGTTTGTGACTGCCTGGATTCCCTGCCACATGCTGCACATGTTGTTATTCATATAGTAGCTCTCCAGTTTTGCAAGTATGCTCTCTTTGCAGCTCTGATGGACTTCTGTAGCTCATACCGGGCTCTTCTGTACTCCGCTTGGTCCCCTGACTTAAAAGCTTCCCGCCTTTTCCTGATTTTCTGTGTCACACACGTGTCTCACACAAGAATCCAGACATACAAAAAACTCATTACAGTAAAGCCCCCAAACATATGCATCATGCATACATACAGCTCACTCGGCCTCCTAAGCAAGATGAACATTTTTGATTAGTGAAGCAGAGAGAAGAGAAACTCGTTAAGCAAATTTTCACATAAGCCCCTTTAGATGGATAATCTTGTTTTCAAGGATGTTGTGGCAATATGTAACGTTTCACAACATGTTTTTAATACAGATGATGTATGAAAAGGGCATAAGACCGAAGAGAGAAAATAATGGGATAAGGATAATAATCTCCTTTATTTGGCCAAGTATCTTACACACAAGGAATTTGTTTCCGGTACAGAACCAAGGCAGCCATCTGCGGCACCAACTCACACTGATGGCTCTAACCATCGGGGGCAGCTTGCGTTTCAGTGTCTTGCCCAAGGACACTTCAACACATGGACTGCAGGCACTGAGATTCAAACTTCCGATCATCCGGTTTGGAGGCGACTGCTCTACCCACTGAACCACAGTCGCCCCACAGAATTCAGTGCCCAACGTGGGGCTCAAACCCATGACTCTAGTCTACTGGGATAAAAAGACACAAATGTTTAGATTAACAAAAAGGACTGAATAAGATCATTATTAGCTCACTAAATTGCAGATATAAAAGTAAACATTTGAAGCTATCTGATTTTAAATGTGAAAAGATTAAACTGATTATAAAATGACCGCTCTTTTTCCAATGCCTGTGTTAGGAAATAAGGCAACATAAGTTTATTTATATAGCACATGCTCATACACAAAGGCAGTTCAAAGTGCTTAACATAATGCACACAAATAAATAAAGCATTAAAATGTAAATTAGATTGAAATATTAAAAGCAACAATTACATGACAACACAAGGCAGCAACATGCAGGTGTAGATACATAGTATTTTTAGGATAACTGTGGCAGACTGTGGGTTCTCACTGTTCTCGTTATATTTTGAACTATGGTTATGGACGTAGAACATGTAAAAAGCTTTCTGATTAGCCCTGTTGGCAGAGTTTCCCTGAGATACTTGGTAAATCCTCATTCTTGAAGTTTTTTTCTTTTGTAAAAGTGAAACATGAAATGTCTCCACAAAGGCAGGATGTAATTTGTGTAGCTTGTCCACTTCTCTGTCACCCTTGAAGCAGACAGAATTATTTTCTCTGCAGAGGGACCAGTCTCAAACTTGTACTCTCATCATTCAAAAATAATTTCTGATGTCATGATTATTTCAAATTCAAATTCCAAGAAAAGGTACCTGTTTCTTTAGATAATTAATCGGATTAAAAAAAAGCTTAGCTGATAATGTGTCATTTCTGTCTTTTTCATAGTTTTTGCTCATTCTTCTCTTCCTGCAGTGGGTCACCTCCCATGCCCAGCGCCAGCAGCTCCAGTCTGACCAATGAGGTGCCCAAACCCCCGGCCAGAGAGCAGCCAGCCACACGGCCACCCTACACCCCTACACTGGGAGGACAGGCACCCCATTCCCACCAGTTCCCCCGCACACGCAAGATGTTCGACAAGGGCCCAGAGCAGGTAAATGGAGACACTGCTCAGCCAGTGTATGAATAAAAGACACAACAGCTGACAATTACAAGGTTTTTAGTTTGATATTTTTGTCTT